CGCTGGCTGCTTCCTGCTACCACCCCCGCCCCCTCCGGCACCAGCACCACTCCCCTTTGACGCCCGACATCACTCCAGCAGCTGAGCAGCTCCACGGAGTAGAGCTTCTGGGCACTAGAGGGCACCACATACAAATACGAAATGTCAAAGGAACCTGGTACAAAGCCAAAACTGAACACCAGCGAAGGGATCAAGTGAGACTGAATTACTCTTCCTGAAAGAGATTTTAAAATAAAAATCAGAAACATACTCATGGAGGTACAGAAAAATATTCAAGAACTCAGGAACGAATTTGGGACAGAGATCCAATCATTGAAGAGCACAATGGAGGGTATTAAAAGCAGGATAGATGGAGTGGAAGACATGAAAAAGGAAATAGAAAGTAGGGAAGATGAAGAAGCTGAGTAGCAGAGAGAAAAAAGGATCTCTAGGAATGAAAGAATACTGAGAGAAATGTGTGACCAATCCAAACAGAACAATATTCATATTATAGGGGTAGCAGAAGAAGAAGGAGAGAGAAAAAGGGATAGAAAGTGTCTCTGAGGAAGTAATTGCTGAAAACTTCCCCAATCTGGGGAAGGAGATAGTCTCTCAGGCCTTGCTAGTGCACAGATCTTCCAACACAAGTGACCCAAGTAGGATAACACCAAGAAATATAATAATTAAAATGGCAAAGATCAAGGATAAGGACAGAGTATTAAAAGCACCCAGAGAGAGAAATTAGATCACATACAAAAAAAACCCATCAGGCTATCATCAGACTTCTCAGTAGAAACCTTACAGGCCAGAAGGGAGTGGCATGAGGTATTTAATGCCATGAAGCAGCAGGGCCTGGAACCAAGACTACTGTATCTAGCAAGATTATCATTTAAATTTGAAGGAGGGATTAAACAATTTCCAGATAAGTAAAAGCTGAGAGCATTTAGCTCCCACAAACTATCTCTACAGTGTATTTTGGAGGGACTCCTATACATGGAAGTGTTCCCAAGGTTAAATAATTTTCACCAGAGGTTAGAGAAAGTGCCAGAGTCCAGAATGTGATACCTAATATACAAAGAATGGAGGAGGGGAAAAAAACCCCTTTAGATTGTGTTTGTAATAACATAGTAAGTGAGTTAAGTTAGACTCTTACATAATAAGGAAGTTACCCTTGAACCTTTGGTAACCATCAACCTAAAGGCTGCAATGGCAATAAGTACATACCTATTAATAATCACCCTAAGTGTAAATGGACTGAATGCAGCAATCAAAAGACATAGAATCACTGAACGGATAAAAAAACAAGACCCATCTATATGCTGCCTGCAAGAGACTCACTTCAAACCCAAAGACATACACAGACTAAAAGTGAAGGGATGGAAAAACATATTTCAAGCAACTAATAGGGAGAGAAAAGCAGGCATTGCAGTACTTGTATCAGACAAAATAGACTTTAAAACACAGAAAGTCACGAAACAAAGAGGGACATTACCATAATGATAAAGTGGTCAATCCAACAGGAGGATATAACCATTATAAATGACTAGATCTAATATCTGAATTCAGCAATGTTGCAGGATACAAAATTAATACACAGAAATCTGTTGCACTCCTATACACTAACGATGAACTAACAGAAAGAGAAATCAGGGAAAACAATTGCATTCACAATTGCATCAGAAATAATAGAATACCTAGGAATAAACCTAACCAAGGAGGTGAAAGACCTATACTCTGAAAACTACAAGACACTCATGAGAGAAACTAAAGAGGACACTAACAAATGGAAACTCATCCCATGCTCTTGGGTAGGAAGAATTAATATTGTCAAAATGGCCTTCCTGCCTGAAGCAGTCTACAGATCAATGCAATCCCTATGAAAACACCAACAGCATTCTTCAGCAAACTACATAAAACAGTTCTAAAATTCACATGGAACCACAAAAGACCCTGACTTTGAATTTGTCATCAAAAGGTTTTAAAACCCCTGTAGGCAAGTCAAGTAACAATCATCACCTTCATCCCCACCGCCACCACGGTCATCTTCGTCCCAACCTCCAGCTACCATTTATTCAAGGCCGGCCTGGGCCAGTGGCTCATGTTACTGGTTTCCCGCTTGTTCTCAGTTCTCATCTTCCCTGAGGAAAGAATTCAGTCCAGAGACCAAGTAGTGAGTGGAATCAGCCAGGAGTTTAATAAGAAAAATGAAAGTACGCCTGGAAAGTGGTCCAAGCGCCCAACTCCCGAGGGTCTGAGTGCCCCGCATGGGTCTAGATGCGGGAATTTTATAGGGCTGTAACGTCTGCTCTCTAGGAGGCTCCACCCCTGACTCTCCAAGACTCTGCCCAGGGCTCGCGACCGTTTAACGGCTGCGTCCGAGGCTCCTTGGCAGTAAGTGGGCGGCTGCGCACGCGCCGCCGTTGGAGTTCTGAGGTCATGCGCATGCCCAATGTGGATGTTTTGTCCTCAAGGGCCGAGCGCCCAAAAGGAAGGCCATACAGTGGTCAACTCAACCGCCGTACCTTCATCTGCACATGTCTGGCTAGTGTGGCGCGGGGCAGGGTGCTCTGAGCACACCGGGCTGCTCGTGTGGGGGGTTTCCATTTCCACCTGCTCTAGGCTCTTATCTGTCTAACAAGTCCAACCCTGTGTTAGACATTTTAAACACAATCACTATTATTCATGAATCTTCAAAGTACACAAATAGAGAATATACAAGTCTCAGCATGTAAGTGGCAGATCCAAGGTCACATAAACTTATCTAGGACTCAGAGCCACATGAGTCTTAAAACCTATGCTTGTTGGTTCTATTTTATCATGATGCTTAAATTCAGAACATAAGGAAAAGGGTATTTAGTCCTTCTACCTTTCTGGTCTACATTATGTCTGCCCTCGACAGTCTTAGAATACATGGTAAGACAAAAAGAGGGAGAGAGAGAGAGAGAGAGAGAGTGAGTGAGGAAGGAAGAAAAGGGAACAGAAGGGAAGACAAACGAAGGAAGGGAAAAGGAAGGAAGGGGAAAAAGAGGGAGAGGAACGGATGGGAAGGGAAATGACTTACCAGCATTTAGGATCTAGAAATGTCACATGAACTTTTATATTCCTGGCTTCTCGAAAACATCGAAACAACTGGCAGGCCAAGATCAGTGGAAGAGGCAAAGAAACAGGTGGCGGGGCCTTCATGCATGACTCCATAGAAGCTTTAACGATTCCCACCTCATATGTATATTTCCCAATTTTGACAATATGATTGATGTACACCCGACCTACTTAGGTATGCATGTTTATGACACATAATCTCAGTGAAATCACAGAGAACTTTGCCATTTATTCCGGCTCATGAAACACAAAGGTGTATATACATCCTTTCTTCTGCCTTGACTCCAGTGATCTTTTCTCCTGGGCTTTATCTTTGGGTTCAGTTGAGAAGGAAACTCATCCTTGATTGATTTTTCCTGCTTTTTCTTAATGTTTATAAAATTGAAAGGTATCCAGTGTTATGCTTAAAACAAAATTCATTCAAGAAACGGTAACAAGTGTGCAGCAACAAAAAGAGAACTCAGAATTAGTATATAAAAAAAATTGTGGATGAAGCAATGCAGTGTGAAAATTAACTCTTGCAAGCTAGAATCAATTTGGTACATTGAAACTAAAACCTTTGTCAACTTGTTATTTTTGTAACCAGGACATAAGAAAGCAAATTTATGGCAGGTGATCATCAAATTGGCCGTCCGGCCCCCCAGTCAGTTTTATGAAAACTGAAAAAAAAATCTCATGTCAGAGCTATTTATGAATTATTGACTTAAGCATGAACATAAAATGATACAAATAAAAGTGATGAGAGATAGAGTGCCAGAGACCCAGCTTATAAAAACTATCCTGTTTTTGCACTGATCCATTTGTCCTGAAAATTGGTGGCATTCATCATTAGTTTTTTCTTATAGCTGAAAAGTATGGCACTTAATTCTTTTTGGATTAAAAAAATATTCTATTACCTATATTCTGGTACCATTGCTAATATACATAATAGATTTTGTTTTTAATTATAGGTATGGGAAATTTTTTTTCAAATAAGTAGAATCTTATATAGTTAAGTGTCCTAAATTAGGTTTTATTTATTTATCCTTAAAATAATTAAGAGTCTTTTTATCTTCTAGTCAGTATTCACTTATTTAGGACCAGACTGTGTTTCAATATTTGATTCATAAACATAATATTTTCATGCTTATCAGAATAAAATGTTATAACATTTCTAACATCCTGGGGCATTAAGGGCTTATTCTCAGGTGACTTCTCAGCTAAATATTCCTTACTTTCTGAGAAGCCTATTGCCCCCATCTCCCACCCTACCACTTCCAAGTGCGGAAGCCTCCAAAGTTCTGTTTATAGTATAGAACCCAGTCTACAACCGGCTGAAAGAGATGAGTCCCCTGACCCAGCCAGAGAGGTTCTTTCTCCTGGAAAGTGGAAGTTAAGTGGCAGAAATGCAGCTCAGTCTCTTCTGGCTACTAGTTCTGAGAATGTATGTGAGTGAATATACTGTCATATCACAACTCCATGTTCCTAGCTGGTGTTCTCACAATATTTATTTTAGCACTAGTGCGAATAAGACACAGGTACAGCCATGATAATGTGCAATGACACAAAAGAGGAGCCTGACACACAGAGTAAACAGAGTTATGTTAACAAAGTTATGTTTATTCACTTAGTTGTGGATATTTCACAACATGCATGTGTATCAAGTCATGCAGTCATACACCTTAAATATGCACGATTTTAAATTGTCAATTATACTTCAATGAAGCTGGAAAAAGAAGTAAAACACTTCAAAGTAGCTCAAACCAAATGGGAAGAATGTTTGTAATTCCCAGGGGAAAAGAATTACTAGCCAAATTAAAAAGCCCCTCATTCTATCTTACCTGCCTTCATTACCATTCTGCATTTTATTCAATAGTAAATTAAAATAAACTGAAGGATAATGACATGAAGAGAACCATTAGAAGAACCTACAGAAGGAAAAATAATTCCTTTATAAATATCTCAAAATTTTTCTAGTTATCAGAGAAAAACATAGAGCAGTAAGTTAAGTATTGTTGATATCGAGTATAAAATTATTAATACAATTTCCAAATATGTATCCCCATATAACAGTATTCAGCTGTACCATTTTATGTTTACAGATACATCAATAGGAAAAAATACTTTGTTAAGATGTGGTATTTTCAGGGGAAGATTGGATTTACCCCAGGAATTCAAAGACAAATTTGCCTGGAAAAATGCACACATTGGAAGCATAAAACAAAAACAGGCTTCTTGATGCCTTTTTCCCTAGTGCTAACCCAAATATCTAATCAAGCTGTATACCTGTTATCGCTTTGCTAAATTAATATTTGTTAAGTGGAACACTGGGTGCCAGATGGTGAGCAAAGGTTTCACAAGGAACCATAGAGAAATTGAAATAGAGATACTTACTACTTGCACAACTCTTGGAGAGGAGTACATGGCCTCCAGGGACCTCAAGGGGACACACACCTCAAAAAGCTGCATGGGGAGGTCAAGGCAGAGTGTAGACAGAGGGGCAGGACCCCAGGGGCACACACTTTTATTAGGGTCTGTTGTAGAGTGCTTGGGTGTTCCTTGGCTAAAAGCCAGATTGGTCAATTCAAACCAAAAAGTAGGTCCTATTAGACACCAGGGCCCAAATAATCAGGCCATCAGTCTACATTCACAAAGGGCAGTCTTTCAACCTATAAGACTTTGCCAGTAAAGCAACCAAAGTGGTACAGATCCGTCCGGTTATAACTTTTGGGATAATTCACCTCAAACGGCTTCCTTCGTGCCCAGAATTTTTATATGCTTTGGATAAACTCCTCAGAGAATGAAAGGACAGCCGCCTATTGCTAAGAGTGCCTCTGACGACCATAGGGAACTCTTAAAATTTGGCTCCAGGAGCAGCTGGCATCAGATACCCAACTCAGGCCTCCGCAAAGGTCTCTTAAATTTAACTCTTTAAGTTGAATTTAACTAATTTGCTCAATGTTGCTCCGGGAGGAGGAGTTTCCCGGCTTTGGGCCAGTGCGCCATGAATTTGGTGAGACTGAAGAAAGGCCGACGGGAGGTGGGTGGTACCAAGGGGCGCACACCGTGGGTTCTTTTCCCAGCAGGAGGAGGACCCCGGACCCCGTACGTGTGGCTGCCCACCGGCCCCGCGGGCCCCTCCCGCCTCGTCGCCGCTCGCAGGCCCCGGCCGCGGCCCCTCTCTCACTGCACAGAGGAGAAAGGTGGGCAGAAAAATAAAGATATGTGAATGTATGTGCTCTGGCTGGGAAATTTCTTGGATTCCATTGAGGAAATGTTTCCTTCACATCTTTGAAAATGTTTCCTGACTGTATTGTCGAAATTGCAATTGAGAGTTATGAATCTTGGTTCACAAAACAAGGACCGAGTAAGAATACTGTGGAACGTGAGAGGCAGACAAAGAGACGGCCACCACCGATATCCCTCGAATTCTTTCTTCTCTGTAGGTGATCTATTCTTACCAGCTTTTTTTACAGTTTTATTAAGTTGGTCTTGGTAAATTAGGTGCTAAATATTTCCTAGTTGATACATTAAAAACAGTCCCCAAAAAGATCAGATGATCAGTGTGCAGCAGGATTATGTCCCCTTTGCAGTCCAGGAGATGTTTGTGTAGTCAGAGTGAAGAGGCTGTGGGGCAAAGGGGTGGGTCCTCATGTGTCATTTTATTTCAAGGTTCCCAGTATGTCTGCAGTCCTAACTTATTAATGTTTTGTTGATTTGAATTAATATCAAATGGCTTTTAGTTTACATCCTTCTGAGATTAAACGGAACTCTTTTAAAGCCATTCATCCCTTAAAAATCTGATTAAATCTTTGGACACTCCTGTCAGAAAAATACCCATGTGCATTCATACATGATGTATATAACTCCAGGGAATTTGGGGGCTCTTGAACCTCATCTATGAGCCTCAGTTTAGGAACACTAGTCATTTAAATATATATATATATAATTTTTTAATTAATTATTAGGAACACTAGTCTTTAAGGTAAGAATGTACCACTAACAATGCTCTGAGATGACTGAATAAGATAAAAATATCTATCTATAAGAAGGCAAAAATAGACTTCAATGTAGTAGTTTTTATATTATCTGTATTTTGCAGACTATTAAAATGACTTGCCTTTTAACTTCAAGGCTATGGTGATATGATCACCAAACATGTTTTGTTACATGCTTGACCAGGATAATGAATAAGTGAGAGTTTCATTTTAAGTATATGGAGCATAATCTGAAATGCTTACATCATAAATATCTTCAGCCAACTTTAAACACAGTTTTTCCCATAGAGGAGCAAGTGGGAGCTGTGTGAGATGTGACTTGTCAGGAGGAGAATGCTTTCCAGATGGGTTTCCTCATTTCTTTTTGCCTAATTTCATTGGAAGAAAGGACCCGTCTGGGAGCAGCTGCAGCAAATCGGCAAGCATTCATGACGGTTCATTTGGAAGGCTTCAGGGCAATGTTTGCTAGGATTGTACAGTTAAAATACATAGGAAAATGTGGAGCCGGAAGGCACCTGGAGGCCAGACTCAGGTAGAAGGCGAGACTGAGAAGGATGCTGGACTGGAGTTCGAGAATGGCCTGGGCCCAGAGTTGACGGGGAGGTGAACTGGGGAGTGAAGGGTAATCAGTACAGCTGCTGTGCCTCGCAGCCCATTACTTCCAGCCTCAAGGCAATCTGGTGGGCCCAGCTCTGGGGGTGAATTCTAAGATAGCGGGTCAGTAGCGGCGGGTCAAGAGGATTCACCACAGATGTGAAAGAGTCTTGATTTCCCTGAAAAACCTGAAAGAGGAAAGAAAACATTTAGTAGTTGTTTGACAGGGAAAAAATTACAATGTCCATGCTTCCAGTAGTTGAGGATTGAACCCTGGGAGCTGACTGGATGACTCTGTGTCACACACCTCTGGGCCTGGGAAAATAGGTGTGACATCTGGAGTTACAAACGCCCTGCTGGCCTTATAGCTGGAATGTTTCTTACCCACTTGGCAAAATCTCAGTGAAATTGAGTGTTTTGTCCTACATTACACACAGCACCCCTGTGTTGAGCCATCTGGAGATGGAAGCAAGAAGAGTACACAGTAAATGGTCAGTAAATGGGAGCTACAGTCACAAGTTAGATAAACTGATCTTACACGTGCTCGTAGCAATTTTAGGATGATAGCAAAAGCAACACAGCAAGGCATGCAATTTAGTGTGGCCTGGCCGCTTTGGCAGGCATGGGTACAGAGGGGAGAAGGAAGAAGGAAGAGGGTCTAAGACCCAAGGCATCTGGAAATTCTGGGACTTTGGAGGTAAAGTGTGGATAAAATGAGAGTTCCTGTGGCCAGGAATCTCAGCTGGCCCTGGTTGACTAGGTCACTGCACACCTGTGGGCAATACATGGCTGCTGACTCTATATAAAAGCTCTGCCCAGTGCTCTGGACATGACACAGTGCCAGGGCTGCAAGGCTGGAGAAGATCAGAGCAGAGGCTGGAGTGGTGGCAGCGCCGAAGACAGAGGCCCACAGGATGGCTGTGTGGGACGGCTGTGCAGAGAAGCCCAGAGGACAGCTGTGTGGACAGAGGGACCCAGAGGCAGAGACGGGCTTGCTGCCTGCAGACTCGCTCTGAGTGAACAGGATTCTAGTGACTGACCTGCCACCTGGAAATAAAGTTGGGTACAACCCTTTCACCCCAAGAACATTTTGCTGTCATTTTCTTTGGTCACACTGAATTCACAGTGAACTTGCCTGGGGCTGAAACCCATTGGCAAGACATAAAGCCACCTATGAACCAGGTGGAGGTTTGGCGAAATTAAGTCAATTATTCAAAAAGTTCAATTCAAAGCAACTTAATATATAAACCTAGTGATGCCACACTCTCAATTAAAACCTTCCATGTCACTTAGAATAAAATCCAAACTCCTTGTTCAAGTTTCTGAGCCCTGCCAGATATGACCCCTGCCAGTCTCTGATCTCATCTCCCATTACCTTCTCCTCATTTTGCTGCATTGCAGATAAACTTGCCCCTTTTGGTATCCCCTTTTTACTCATCCTTTTTATCTTTCGAGTCTCAGTTTAAATGGCATCTCTTTAGAGAGCTCTATACCATCTAAAATAATGTCAACCCATTCATTCGCTTCATAGCATTCAATATATTCTCATCTGTTTACCTGCTTACTGACCATTCCCTCCATTTTCACCACCAAATGTCAGCTTCATGAGAGCAGAAACCTTGGTCACTAATTTATCTTCCACACAGAGAACACATAGCATAATGTATACACATGGCAAATATACCATAAACATTTGTTAAAGTTTGTTTGATAAAACTTTTGAGAAACATTAAGGCCCCTGTTCTGAGATTCTTTGACAAATGTTTATGGTATATTTTGAAGTTTGTACATCTTTTGTTAGGCTTATTCCCTAGGATTACCTCTCAACTTTTTATTTTGACATGTCACCAACCCCAAGAAATTGAAAGAATAATACAAAGAACACTGAAATCCTTCACCTAGATTCACCAATTGTTCACATATTGAGATATTTACTTTCTACATACACACACTGTAGGGTAAGTGGAAGTTCTCATGGCCAGGATGCTCTCCTGACCCTAATCTACTTGCCCACCGTGCACATGCAAGGATGGAATTGGCCTACTGGTAGGCACTGCACACATGTTGGCAATGAGCCATTATTCTCTGTCTTGCTATATAAAGACCTACACCCGGTGCTCTGCATAGAGGTGGAGATGGAGGCTGAGGTGGACTGCAGACTTTCTGGATGCAGATGTGACTCTAGTGCTCAACCTGCCACCATGAGAATAAAGCTTGGTATAAACCCTTTTACCCCCAACATTCTGTTCTTGTTATTTGGTCTCACCAAATCCAGAGTGAATTTGTCCAGAGCTGCAACCCTCTGGTGACACACACACACACACACACACACACACACACACACACACACACACACACACACACACACACACACACACACTCTCTGAATGTCTTGTCTCCTCTTAATAGATGCTAATGAGCTATTCAGGAAACAGCCTGTTGGAAACTCTTCCAGCGACTAAAAATATGTTTCTTGGCGCTCTTCATTAAAACAACTGCCACTGAGGCAGGGAGTGCGTGCTGAGAGGAAGGAATAAACCTGGCAGAGAAAGAGGCTGGGCAGCTTGTGTCAGCAACAGAACACACAGCAATGTGCAGATTCACCAGCGTCTCCCCACCCTGCGGATCCTTCCGCCCACAGGGGGGCGGACTCCCCACAGCCGTTCCTCACCGCGGGCACCTACAAATAGCGAACCAGCGCCGGCAGCCTCCTGCCTCCCTCTGTTCCTCCCTCCTGGAGCAGCAGCGGTGGGGAAGGGGCGGTGTGGCACAGTCTCCTCCTCCCTGGCACCAAGGGAACTTCTAAGAGAAGGACACTGATGAGTCTCAGTTAACCTGGTTTCAGGTACACACACACACACACACACACACACACACACACACTTTCTGAATTACTTGAAAGGAAGTTGTAAACATTATGGCATTTTACTTCCAAATAGTTTAGCATACCAAATGTAAAAATTAAGTGATTTTTCTACATAACCACAAAATATCCCCAACAAATATAAAATTGATACAATATAATAAAATTTTCAAAAATTTCCAGTTATCACAATGTTATTTAGTGATAATAGTTTTTCCAATCCAGAATCTAATTAAAAACTCACAGATTACATTTATTTATCATCTCTCTTAAAATCTCCTTTAAACTAGAACAGGCTCCTTGTCTCTGGTTTTGTTTGTCCTTCATGACATTGACATTTTTTTTAGGAGAGCAAGGCAGAGGCTTTTATTTAGAGATAAAGTGAGAAGATAGAGCTCCTGGCTCAGGCCAGGAGGGGACAAGAGAGCCCCGGGTGGGTGAGAGCTTGGTTAAAGTGGTGTCCACCAGATCTCTCCGTTATAAAGGTAACCATTTCTTTTTCCCAACAATCTGTGGGATCCTACTTTGAGATCATGAAAATATTCTGCTCCCCATCAAATTTTTTTCCAGTGGTTTTAGCATCCACTAAATTCCTTACAACTATTAAATAGTGTACTGATGGTTGCAAATTGATTTCCTAATTTTATCATTTCTTCTACATTTATTAGCTGGAATTCTTCTGTGGAGAAAAGATCCTCTTTCCCCTTTATATTTTCAATTGTGATTATGGACTCCTGGATTCTTTATTATGTACTATAGTCCATTACCAACATTATTCTTTTTGATGTTCAAATTGTCTCAAATTTGGTCAGTAGGAAGCCCTTCAATCCAACTCCTGTGGTCTTTTCATATGACCCCAGAACATCGTCGTGCACACCAAGATGTTCCAAGATCACCTGGCAGTTTCCTTACTCCAGCCTTGGTCGGAATCAGTCATTTCTCAAGGAGCTCAGGTCCTTTTTCCTGGGCTGTGGTGGCCACGGCATTTATAGATCAACAGTGCTTGGAGTTGGTGACGTTCTGCTCCTCTCAGGTTTGGCCATTTTTTCCCTCATGAATTGGTTTATGTCACATCTACTTACACTCTACTGGTCAAAATGAGTGCTGGAACAATAGCATATAAGGAATTTCTAAATTAACAGAAAATGGCAGGTGAAGCAAAGGGTATCATTGGTCTTCATTTTTCACTACCTCCTTCCTTTTACGTAGGCTGCGAGAAGAGGGCTGGCTCATTAGGTTTCTTAGTCCAGGAGCAGCCTCTACTGTTCATAAAGTGCTTTTACCGGACACTTAATTTCCACCATTTGATTTCTGGTTTCATTCAGCAGCAAGCGTCCAGATGTGTCCCAGTTTAACAGAAACAGTGCCCTGCCAACGTACTACTTCTAGTCGCACATACTTTCAATCAGTACCTCATCACTAAGTGATTCGATCTGTTTTATACCACCGCTAGTTCTCACACCGACCTACCTGATCACCTAGCTACCTTTGCACGTTTATTTCCTATTTACTTGAAAGTTGAAACTTACAGTATTCTTGTCTTCTACTTATTCTAGGTGAGTTAAGAGTGAAATTTTTAAATGCATGGTTTTTGAAGGCTGTACAGAGAGATTTAGGCAGCTGCTATTATCTAATGAGAATTTGAAGCTCAGTACTTGGAATTTTTAAATGCTATTTTAAACGTTTTTTCAACTGTTTCTGACATATGGAAATATAAGTAAATTTTGTGTTGATTTTGTTTTCAGCAAACTTGCAAAATTATATTATTAATTCTAGTAATTAAGAGAGAGATTCTTTTGGATTTTCTATGTACATCATCATACATCTTCCACATATTATGAGGGTTTGTTTCATCTTTTCCAATCCTTACATATTTATTTATTTATTGTATCTTACTGCACTGCTTAGGACATCCAATACAGTTTTTAATAAAATTGGATGTGGAAGATTAAAGATGGCTTTGAATTATTTGACATTCCTCCCATGGAGAAGTATTTGCTTTGTTTTAAACCTGGGTTGGCCATTGATTCTTTAGACTGTTAGGCAGAAGTGCTGCTGTGCCAGTTCTAGGCCTGGCCTTTGCAAGAGGAATGGCAGTTCCCTCCTTGGTTTCTTGGACTCTCCAACTCTTACATAAGAAGGGTGATTTTCCTAAGACCACCATGCTGTGAGAGGCCCATTACATGTGGAGAGTCCCTGAGGAGACACCAAGTGGAACAAAACGTCAGGGAAAACAAAGGTACCAGACATGTGAGTCCGAAGTATTGTGATTTCTCATTGGCTGATTTTGTGGATCAGGAATCGAGGTTAATCTGGCTGGCTGGC